CGTTGTATAAAAGTGATAATTCCCTCGAAGCCGGTGTTTGGAGGATATATTGGCATGGTTTGGAGGATATATTGGCACGGTTTGGAGGATATATTGGCATGGTTTGGAGGATATATTGGCATGGTTTGGAGGATATATTGGCATGGTTTGGAGGATATATTGGCATGGTTTGGAGGATATATTGTCATGGTTTGGAGGATATATTGGTACGGTTTGGAGGATATATTGGCATGGTTTGGAGGATATATTGGCATGGTTTGGAGGATATATTGGCATGGTTTGGAGGATATATTGGCATGGTTTGGAGGATATATTGGCATGGTTTGGAGGATATATTGGCATGGTTTGGAGGATATATTGGCATGGTTTGGAGGATATATTGGCACGGTTTGGAGGATATATTGGCATGGTTTGGAGGATATATTGGCATGATTTGGAGGATATATTGCCACGGTTTGGAGGATATACAGTGGGGGAAAAAAGTATTTAGTCAGCCACCAATTGTGCAAGTTCTCCCACTTAAAAAGATGAGAGAGGCTTGTAATTTTCATCATAGGTACATGTCAACTATGACAGACAAATTGAGAAAAAATAATCCAGAAAATCACATTGTAGGATTTTTAATGAATTTATTTGCAAATTATGGTGGAAAATAAGTATTTGGTCAATAACAAAAGTTTCTCAATATTTTGTTATATACCCTTTGTTGGCAATGACACAGGTCAAACGTTTTCTGTAAGTCTTCACAAGGTTTTCACACACTGTTGCTGGTATTTTGGCCCATTCCTCCATGCAGATCTCCTCTAGAGCAGTGATGTTTTGGGGCTGTCGCTGGGCAACACGGACTTTCAACTCCCTCCAAAGATTTTCTATGGGGTTGAGATCTGGAGACTGGCTAGGCCACTCCAGGACCTTGAAATGCTTCTTACGAAGCCACTCCTTCGTTGCCCGGGCGGTGTGTTTGGGATCATTGTCATGCTGAAAGACCCAGCCACGTTTCATCTTCAATGCCCTTGCTGATGGAAGGAGGTTTTCACTCAAAATCTCAAGATACATGGCCCCATTCATTCTTTCCTTTACACGGATCAGTTGTCCTGGTCCCTTTGCAGAAAAACAGCCCCAAAGCATGATGTTTCCACCCCCATGCTTCACAGTAGGTATGGTGTTCTTTGGATGCAACTCAGCATTCTTTGTCCTCCAAACATGACAAGTTGAGTTTTTACCAAAAAGTTCTATTTTGGTTTCATCTGACCATATGACATTCTCCCAATCCTCTTCTGGATCATCCAAATGCACAACTTCAGACGGGCCTGGACATGTACTGGCTTAAGCAGGGGGACACGTCTGGCACTGCAGGATTTGAGTCTCTGGCGGCGTAGTGTTTTACTGATGGTAGGCTTTGTTACTTTGGTCCCAGCTCTCTGCAGGTCATTCACTAGGTCCCCCCGTGTGGTTCTGGGATTTTTGCTCACCGTTCTTGTGATCATTTTGACCCCACGGGGTGAGATCTTGCGTGGAGCCCCAGATCGAGGGAGATTATCAGTGGTCTTGTATGTCTTCCATTTCCTAATAATTGCTCCCACAGTTGATTTCTTCAAAACAAGCTGCTTACCTATTGCAGATTCAGTTTTCCCAGCCTGGTGCAGGTCTGCAATTTTGTTTCTGGTGTCCTTTGACAGCTCTTTGGTCTTGGCCATAGTGGAGTTTGGAGTGTGACTGTTTAAAAAAGGTTGTGGACAGGTGTCTTTTATACTGATAACAAGTTCAAACAGGTGCCATTAATACAGGTAACGAGTGGAGGACAGAGGAGCCTCTTAAAGAAGTGACAGGTCTGTGAGAGCCAGAAATCTTGCTTGTTTGTAGGTGACCAAATACTTATTTTCCACCATAATTTGTAAATAAATTCATAAAAAATCCTACAATGTGATTTTCTGGATTTTTTTTCTCAATTTGTCTGTCATAGTTGATGTGTACCTATGATGAAAATTACAGGCCTCTCTCATCTTTTTAAGTGGGAGAACTTGCACAATTGGTGGCTGACTAAATACTTTTCCCCACTGTATTGGCACGGTTTGGAGGATATATTGGCACGGTTTGGAGGATATATTGGCATGGTTTGCTGGCTCTCGACTTCGTCTTGGGTCTAACAACACCCCTGCCAATATATCCTTCTAACACCGGCTTCTCGGGCATTAATACTTAAATGTTGATACAGTCTCTGAAGAGCTAATGGTTTACTGGGTAATGTTGATACAGTCTCCTGTCTCTGAAGAGCTAATGGTTTACTGGGTAATGTTGATACAGTCTCCTGTCTCTGAAGAGCTAATGGTTTACTGGGTAATGTTGATACAGTCTCCTGTCTCTGAAGAGCTAATGGTTTACTGGGTAATGTTGATACAGTCTCCTGTCTCTGAAGAGCTAATGGTTTACTGGGTAATGTTGATACAGTCTCCTGTCTCTGAAGAGCTAATGGTTTACTGGGTAATGTTGATACAGTCTCCTGTCTCTGAAGAGCTAATGGTTTACTGGGTAATGTTGATACAGTCTCCTGTCTCTGAAGAGCTAATGGTTTACTGGGTAATGTTGATACAGTCTCCTGTCTCTGAAGAGCTAATGGTTTACTGGGTAATGTTGATACAGTCTCCTGTCTCTGAAGAGCTAATGGTTTACTGGGTAATGTTGATACAGTCTCCTGTCTCTGAAGAGCTAATGGTTTACTGGGTAATGTTGATACAGTCTCCTGTCTCTGAAGAGCTAATGGTTTACTGGGTAATGTTGATACAGTCTCCTGTCTCTGAAGAGCTAATGGTTTACTGGGTAATGTTGATACAGTCTGTATTAAAATACAAAGTTAATATTTTATCATCATGGTGAGTTTATGTTATAGTTTGTATGCTGTCACCTGTAATCATGTCCATTGACTTGCATAATGAAATAGTACATTAATCAGTTTCACTACTTAAAGGAGTTCATGAGATTTAGAAGACAATAGAAACCATTGAGGAATCTACGATACAAATGTTACAAAATGTCTGTGTTATTCTAAACTGTGAGCTGAGCTAGCTGGTCTTATTCTTAAAGGGATAGTACAACCAAATTATGAAATGACATATTGGTTTCCTTCTCATGTCAGCAGTCTATGGACAATGTATGACAGCAATCCATGCTTTGGTTAAGTTTCCCTGACACTGTTTACACATGCTAAAGAATGTTTTATTTGTCGTACTAATTTGAAGATTTAGTAGTTATTTATTAACATGTATTTTAAAGGAAGTTTAATAAATAGTTATTGAAGATATTGTTTGACAATAATTTATTTGGAATACGAATTGGTGTAAGTGCCATCATCATTTCCTAGTATAATGATCGTTTTCTCACTCTCACACTCACACTGACACACACTCACACTCACGCACACTGACACACACACACTGACACACACACACACACTCACACTTACACACACACACTGACACACTCACACTTACACACACACACTGACACACACTGACACACACACACTCACACTTACACACACACACTGACACACTCACACTTACACACACTGACACACACACACTGACACACACACACACTCACACATGACTGTACTGTATTTGCCCACAAATCCTCAATGTTTCAGAGTGGGAGCGTTTTCTGTTATGTGCCCATACCTGGTCTTCAATGGAGGATGTGCTGGATAAAGTTACAATCAATTACCACTTGAATTATATTGAGGAGAAGTATTATATTCCCCAAGTCGGTGAGATGACAAACTGCTGCCTTAGTCTCACCATGTGGTGAGTTCCTCAAACTGCTGCCTTAGTCTCACCATGTGGTGAGTTCCTCCAGTGGTGTTGATGATGCGTTACTGGTCATGCTGAACAATATCTACGAACATTTAGAAAAGGCAAATAGCCTAGTGAAAATTGTATTCATTGACTTCGGTAGTGCGTTTAACATCATCCAACCCCACCTAGTGGTGGATAAGCTGGTGGATTTGGGTGTCAACTCTCTACTGATCAAGTGGATTAATAGTTTCCTTGTGAACCGTTCTCAACGAGTGAAGTTTAACTCCGCCATCTCTACATCTAGAGCGCCATCTCTACATCTAGAACGCCATCTCTACATCTAGAGCGCCATCTCTACATCTAGAACGCCATCTCTACATCTAGAACGCCATCTCTACATCTAGAACGCCATCTCTACATCTAGAACGCCATCTCTACATCTAGAACGCCATCTCTACATCTAGAACGCCATCTCTACATCTAGAACGCCATCTCTACATCTAGAACGCCATCTCTACATCTAGAACGCCATCTCTACATCTAGAACGCCATCTCTACATCTAGAACGCCATCTCTACATCTAGAACGCCATCTCTACATCTAGAGCGCCATCTCTACATCTAGAGCGCCATCTCTACATCTAGAACGCCATCTCTACATCTAGAGCGCCATCTCTACATCTAGAACGCCATCTCTACATCTAGAGCGCCATCTCTACATCTAGAACGCCATCTCTACATCTAGAACGGTGAATACGGTAGAAACAAAAGTGATGTAAATTGATTTACCCCCTACGAAGATCAAAGGGGAATCAGTGGATAGTGACCACATAATAAGTACCTGGGAATCGAAAAAGGCAATAAACTGAAATTCAATGACTGTGCGTTTGCAAAGATAAAGAAATTGCAACAGAGAAAGTTTTTTTGTAACGCAAACTGAACCATTTTAATGTCGACCGCCATATCTTACAAATGTTCTATAAATCTGTCCTGCAGAGTGTGCTGTCCTTTGGTCTGGTATGCGTGTTGGGAAACATGCGAGAGCAAGACCAAGTCAAGCTTCAGCGCTTGATTAAGACGGCGGGAAGGATCATTGGTATAGATCAAGAATCAGCCACCAACCTGTATACAAAACTCATCCTCCTAAAACATGAAAGCATTTTACAGGACAGAACTCATCCCCTTCACTCAAAACCCATCCTCCTAAGACATGAAAGCACTGGAGGCCTACTGGACCGGCCTGGCCCTCAACAAGTCAGAGAACTCAGACAAAGGAGTGGAGATTGCTTACCTAGGCACACTGGCCTCTCTAGAACTAACCTGTTTGTTGTCCCAGAGCACCTATCCAATCAAGACTTCCTGACGGCGGAAGATAAGGAGGGGGTGTCCGACGCTGACCACTTCCCTCTGTGGTAGAAGAGAGCAGCGGAGCAGGTTCTCTATCCCCTTTGGAGGAGTGTGGTTTTGGCCAGCACCGGCATATAGCTGCTGGATGACAGGAAGTCGCCTAGTGTTGCTTCCGTTGGGATTCAGATGAAGCTGGATTTCTTTCAGAGGAAGTTCTGGACCGCTAGCAGACAGTGTGCTGCTCCGGGTGGGAAGTGCACCATCAGCTGTGATAATGAGGACATCAAGTGTTACCTTATAGACAACGACGGATTTATTCTGGTCACTGAGGACTACTCTCAGACGGGGCTGTTCTTTGGATAGGTGGAGGATGAACAAGCTGCTTCTCGTGGGCTCCTTCAAAAGGATCACTCTGTATGACCACCAGGCTCTCTGGAGAGAGTATGCTGGCAGCAGTGACAGCGCCCGCTCTTCATCACGTCCCTTCTCCATTGTGAAATGGCTCCTGACCGAACTTGTCATTGTCCTGCTGGAGTTCAACCTTTACAGCTGGTGGCATGTTGATCTCTCAGTCAAAGGGCGAGGGGAAAGACCATGATGGTGCCATGTGACGCGGAGTACCCTGCCTTCATCTCTGAGCACACCATCAGAGAGACCACGGGAAACATCGACTGTGAGTGCTGTGCCAGATCTTTTGTAATTCAACAAATTCCCAGCAGTAACCTCTTCATGGTTGTCGTGGACAACAAGTGTGACTGCAGCTCTGCCCCCCTGGTTTCCATGGATCCCATCGAGATTATGTACAATGAGTCTCTGAAATGTGATAGGCTGAAGTTTCAGAAGGACAGAAAGCGGCCAGAATCGCGTCGTCCTTTCCATCCCGAGGAGAATGCCATGGAGTGTGGAGGAGCAGCAGGCCTCTCTGCCCCCCTCACAGCAGCACTGCTCCCCCTACTGGCCAATCTCATTAGCAGGTGACCACACCGCCCTCGAGGCCCACCGTCCTGGACCCAACACAGGACCTAACACTGGAGAGATTGATAGACTGGCACACCATCAAATGCTGACAATGCACAGGGAGCCTCGCCAACAAGAAGAACTTGCTCATAACTAACTGAGTTGCTTATTACCAATATAGAGACTGCCCAATTATAAAGCATCTCCCTGACCAGCAGAGAAATAACGAAAAGAAATAAAAATGGACATTGTTCAAGAGAAACAGAACAATATTCCAATGGGAATTAGACTGAAGAAATATACGTGCAATCAGCAATGAACGGGGTTCACAGGATAACAGAAAAGACAGCTGGGTCAGTTGGATGACAAAGCAAGCGCTCTATAATGTACATTTACATTTACATTTTTGTCATTTTAGCAGACGCTCTTATCCAGAGCGACTTACAGTTAGTTCCTACATCGATAAAATAATGTATCTTCCTTTATGTGCAATCAATGAAAGCATTACCATGTTGATTTAAATCTCAGTTGGTACACTCCACATTAGCGTTCCAAAATACTTCAGTACACTCTCACAGCTGTAATATGCTGACTGCAAGTGGCAGGACAGGATTTTACAGAATAAAATATCCACTTTTCGCTACGTTTAGACAACATAATACGAGCAACGATATGTGATTATACAGATATACTAATCACAGTATTTGACATAATTTAAATCTAACATTCATTTGCATGAGACAAAGTCCACTTGATCAATAGTTATTGCTCTAGTATCCTATAGCGCCACCAACTGGTCTGGTGCAGCCATTTAAGGTTGCAGTGACTTTATATTCACACAGCTTTTAAGGACATACAAAAGGTTTACATACTACATCTCATTGCCCCTTGTCCATCGGCTCAGTTCTTATAGCCAGTTGGAATTATCTACAGGGTTTGAGATTAACTTTTTCTGCCACTTGTCCTTCAGACAAGTAAGACTGATTTTTTTACTTGTCCGAACTGTTAAGGAGAACTGGCCAAAACCTTCCCCTGTTAAGGTGAGTGCAATGCAGATACTTGCAAAGGCTACAAGCCCAACGTTCATCCAAGCACAGCTCCCCTGCCAAGACCTGCCTACTCTCTCGGCTCTGCCTTATATCAGTTTCTCAGAGTTCCGGGCAGAGTCTTGTAAGCAAGCACAGGTGCGAGCGACATCTTCCCTTACTATCTGTCCTACAGCTTCACCAGACTATCCCCCATCCTGGGTGGAAAAGACCGTCTCTGAGTCACTCCGAAACCATGTGGTAACTCTAGACCACGCTTGTGGCTTCCGGTCTTGCACTGGTCGTGCTCACCTAGAAAGTTGGGCTCCCGTTGACCTCCCTCCCACTGAAGGAGACGCTGCTGGTGCCTCCCATTGCTGAAGAAGGCCGGAAGAACCTTCTTGTGGATGCTGGAGGTCAGATGACCCCTCTTGTGGATGCTGGAGGTCAGATGACCCCTCTTGTGGATGCTGGAGGTCAGATGACCCCTCTTGTGGATGCTGGAGGTCAGATGATCCCTCTTGTGGATGCTGGAGGTCAGATGACCCCTCTTGTGTGCTAGATGCGCTCGAGCAACCCATCTGACTGGGGATGATACGCAGAGGTTCGAGTTCTGCAAACGTCTTTGAAAATATTGGATTCAAAATGTTTTCTCTAATTGGAGTGAATACTGGGGCGGGGGGGGGCGCCAAAGCGACAAATCCACTCCTCTGCCAAAACCTTGGCGATGGAGTAGGCTTCTTCGTTGGGAAGAGGAAACTCCTCTGTGCATTTCGATAAATAATCTCAGACTACTAGGATGTACTTATTCCCATGGGTGGTTTGAGGGAGGGAACCCAAGATATCCACAGCTATACGTTCATACGGCCGTGTTTAGGGGTGCACAGGGAGGCCGCCCTTGGGCTTTACGAGACGTCCACACACATGAGATCCCAAATCTAGAAGCAGTTTAGCTAACGCGTTCTGTTTTACAAGAAAACGGCTGAGATTACGCAAACACTGTAGCTAGCTAGCAAGGCCTCCTCAGCAGCAATGTTATTTAATTTTAATTTAACTGTCATTGAAGTTGGTGGTCATTACTGGTTTCAGATGGCAAGTGAAACTGTCCGCCATGTTTTGTGTTTTGGTAAGGGCTCGGAGTGACGTCACGCACCAAAGGTCACGCACCAAAGGTCCGTCACGCACCAAAGGTCCTCTGTAGCTCAGCTGGTAGAGCACGGCGCTTGTAACGCCAAGGTAGTGGGTTCGATCCCCGGGACCACCCATACACAAAAAATGTATGCATGCATGACTGTAAGTCGCTTTGGATAAAAGCGTCTGCTAAATGGCATATTATTATTATTATTAAAACCAATCACGACAGATAAGGAACTTTCATGACCGGATATGCGATAACCCTACATCTCCCAAAAACGGATGTCAGGGGATTTAAAAACAATCTAAGAAATAGAGAAAAAGTGATTTGTTAATAGTTTCCTTATTTTTTAATTGAATGAATATATAATAATAATAATAATAATATAATAATTATTGAATGAATACATCTCTTGATGCTCCTGAACACATCATCAGTTATCTAACCTGGAGTCATAGGGTGTTTGGGGTCAACATCCCACACCCTCGCTGAGGCCACCCAGCCCCCGTCTCCAGGTGGCATTACGCTGCTCCCAATGGATCTCCTCTCTTGATCCAGAGCCATCTTGTCTTGTTCAGCTGCCTGAATGGTGTTTCTGATGGCTCTCCTCCTCTTCGCCAAGTGTGCTGTAGGCTCTGTAGAGGGATTGCCCAGCAAAACCCTTGCAGCCTACCTCGATAGGCATGCACCTAGCCTTCCAACCCTGCTTCTGACAGTCGATGACCAGTCCCTCGTACTTCACCCTCTTCCTCTCGTATGCCTCCTGAAGACGAACTTTCCAAAGGACTGTCAGTTCCAAAATAATGTGGACTCTGAGACCAGGGCTATGTCTGGTCTAAGTGTTGTCTTGACCATGTGCTGCAGGAACTTGAGCTGCTTCTCCAGGTCTGCTGTCAGCTGCCAGTCCTGAGCTGCCAGTCCCGAGCTGCCAGTCCCGAGCTGCCAGTCCCGAGCTGCCAGTCCCGAGCAGTAGCTAGGATCCCTGCTGGTGGTCTGGATTTTGAGCCTGGCTGCTCTCCAGCTCGAACGAAAGTGATCTTCTGACAGGTGTCCCGAGCTCGCTTGCGCTTGCCGATCCCTGTGTCGATTGCTTCTGCGATGGTCTTGAGAACCTGGTCATGGCGCCAGCGATAACGGCCCCCTCCCAGAGCTTTAGGTCAGCAGCTCCAGTGTCCCTCTCTTGTAGCGTAGTGGGCATGCAGGAGATTCCACAATGTCAAACTTAACATGGCTCATAACGGTAATGTCTTTTATGACCCTAAAACGTTTGAAGTTTAATGGCGATTGTGAAGTGGATTTACTAAGGATTTAAATGGATACGTAAAATCTGATTTCAGATCTATCAATAAGCCAACCATCTCAGCCATCTCTTAACCAATCCATGGGCCAATCCAATCCATGGGCCAATCCAATCCATGGGCCTACATACTGAATTTGGTTTTATTTGGACCTATGGTTACATTTTTTACATTTAGCAGACGCTCTTATCCAGAGCGACTTACAGTTAGTGAATACATATTTTTTTATACTGGCCCCCCGTGGGAATCGAACCCACAACCCTGGCGTTGCAAATGCCATGCTCTATTAACTGAGCTACATCCCTGCCGGCCATTCCCTCCCCTACCCTGGGCCAATTGTGCGCCGCCCATGAGTCTCCCGGTCGCGGCCGGCTGCGACAGAGCCTGGATTCGAACCAGGATCTCTTGTGGCACAGTTAGCACTGCGATGCAGTGCCTTAGACCACTGCGCCACTCAGGAGAATACATTTTTCAAAGATTTTCCAAAATGTCCAAGATGGAGGAAAATCTATCCTAACGGACCTTATGGGTCCTTGAGAAAAATGTGTGCAGCATGAGGACGACGCCTACAGATAAATGTTCCTGTCTCTAGGTCAAAGTTAGACTGCTTATATCAGCGCCACCTAGAGGCCAATCGGTGCCAGCGCCACCTAGAGGCCAATTGGTGCCAGCGCCACCTAGAGGCCAATCGGTGCCAGCGCCACCTAGAGGCCAATCGGTGCCAGCGCCACCTAGAGGCCAATCGGTGCCAGCGCCACCTAGAGGCCAATCGGTGCCAGCGCCACCTAGAGGCCAATCGGTGCCAGCGCCACCTAGAGGCCAATCGGTGCCATTCTTTTTGACCAAGTTACTCCAGTTTCTGTGTGCAAAATTAGAAATAAAGTTATCTGAGTTATTTGACCATGTCAGTTATCTGTGCTCGAGTTATTAAACCATGTCAGTTATCTGTGCTCGAGTTATTAAACCATGTCAGTTATCTGTGCTTGAGTTATTTGACCATGTCAGTTATCTGTGCTCGAGTTATTTGACCATGTCAGTTATCTGTGCTCGAGTTATTAAACCATGTCAGTTATCTGTGCTTGAGTTATTTGACCATGTCAGTTATCTGTGCTTGAGTTATTTGACCATGTCAGTTATCTGTGCTTGAGTTATTTGACCATGTCAGTTATCTGTGCTTGAGTTATTTGACCATGTCAGTTATCTGTGCTTGAGTTATTTGACCATGTCAGTTATCTGTGCTTGAGTTATTAAACCATGTCAGTTATCTGTGCTTGAGTTATTTGACCATGTCAGTTATCTGTGCTTGAGTTATTAAACCATGTCAGTTATCTGTGCTTGAGTTATTTGACCATGTCAGTTATCTGTGCTTGAGTTATTTGACCATGTCAGTTATCTGTGCTTGAGTTATTTGACCATGTCAGTTATCTGTGCTTGAGTTATTTGACCATGTCAGTTATCTGTGCTTGAGTTATTTGACCATGTCAGTTATCTGTGCTTGAGTTATTAGACCATGTCAGTTATCTGTGCTTGAGTTATTTGACCATGTCAGTTATCTGTGCTTGA